TCGGCTACAATAAGTACAAAATTTCAATGACATTTTTATTAATGGTTAGTTTTTCTGATTATCAGTAAGAATATTTTTTAGTGTCTATTTTTAACAGCTATGTGTTATGAATCATTAAGAGAATCAGTTAAGTAAATCGTGTTCAGTTATCCTTCAGAATTTGATGTGAAAGGCTGTTCTGTACCCTGGGGTAGGAAAAGTTTTAGAACAGGCTAACCCTCTTTATAGCAAAGGTAAGGGGAACAGCCGTGCACCTTCTCTGGTTTGGCATCCCTCTGCTTAGCTGCTGTGCGTGGGAACTGCTTTCTCTGCCCGTCCTGCCTCTAGCAGTGGTATGTGCAGTGCTCTACTCAGAAGTCACTGTTCTCATTGTGATTCATCTTCCTCCTAAAAGTAGAAACTTATTATTGTGTATTGACGTCGTGGAATATATCTTTGTAGTAATAGGCTTTTGCTTTTGCCTATCAGTTGGGTCTGGCTCTGCGAGTTCTAGCGGACTGACTGGAAGCTATATCCCTTCCTTTTTGAAAAAAGAAATTGGTTCTGTTATGCAGAGGGTGCACCTGGCACCTATTCCAGACCCTTCCCCTGGTAAGTCCTACTTCAAAGTATAAGTTAATCCAAAAGTCACTGAACAGTTGCTTTGTGTCAGGAATGGTGTAGACAGAGTGAGATAGGCATAACTTGGCCTCGGTGAACTTGCACTCGGTAGACAGGAAGTGAATTGAGGGCTGGAGGGTAGCTCAGTGTTTAAGAACACTTGCTGTGCATCTGACTCCCAGCACTCACATGGCAGCTAACAACCATCTGTAACTCCAGTTCCAGAGGGATCTGACAACCTCTTCTGGCCTCTGCGGGTCATTGCGCTCAGGCGGTACACTTACATACGTGCAGGCAAAACACTCATACACATAAGATAAAAATAATTTTAAAAAGTTTTCTAAAGTGAGTTGAATATGTATAAATGTAGACTAAATCTGATGCTTACAAATGCTAAGGAAAATATAAATAGGCAGGAAGTGACGTCTTGGGGATTGGGGAATCGAAGCCCAAAAAGGTTCACCCCAAAGGAGTCAATGACTAAAGATCTGAAGGAGCTGAGGGGCAAGCACCTAGTGCGAGTGTCTAGGATTCCTGAGTGCACAGGCTTTGGGGCAGGTCAGGCCTGACAAATTCAGGAAGTGGTAAGGAAGCCACTTGTGAGAATGTTGAGAATGTTGTGTGGGTAGGGCAAGAGAGATACATGGAGAGTCTTGAGGAGATCATGGATGAGGACAGGCTGAGGTTGCAGGGGACGGGGGTGGGGTTGTCCCTGTAGCAGGTCACTGGAGCATGTTGTTGCTGAACATCTTTGGAGCCACTGAAGGGTTTTGTGCAGTGGAGCAAAGTGATCTGAAAGCCATTTCCGTAGACTCCCTGGAGCTGCTTGCTTTCATTAGAATGCGAACAATATTAGATGCAAGACCCTGTGGCCTGGACAAGGGATGTAGCAGCTGGTAAAAACATCGCCAGATGGTGAGTGTATATGCGATGTAAAGCCAACAGGATTCTGACAGATTGTCAGTAAGAGAAGAAGGTCAAGGAGAACACGAGTAGTTTTGGTCAGACGAGTCTAGTTGCGGGGTTTCTCCTTAACTGAGGAAGGAGAGACGGGCTGCAGATCCTCTTGCCCGCGTCGTGTTTTCAGACTTTCTTGTCACTGCACTCACTGCATGCAACTGCACCTTGCTTGCTTGCGTCTCCTGCCAGTCCATTTAGTGTTTCTCTTCCATTGCAGGTTACTCTTCCCTGAAGGCTGTGAGACCTCATCCTGGGCGGCCTTTTCTCCACACCCAGCCTAGAAGCACTCCTGGGCTGATTCCACGGCCTCCAGCTGCCCAGCCCGTGCACGGTAGGACGGACTGGGCCTCCAAGTACCCATCCCATCGGTGACTCTTGAGCTTTGAGGCCATTCTGTCTCAGATGACTCTGTCCCGCCTACAGAGCCATTGGTCCTATGAAAGCACGAACGCCGGGAGCTGTTCTTCTAAACAGACACATTTCAATGTTCTTTCTTTCTAAAACTTTTTTTTTTTTAAATATTGATTTGAATGCAATACCCTCTTTTTGTATAAAATTATTTTATTCTAAAACTGGGTCTCATTATTTTCTTAAACAACAATATTTTGTATATATGCATTATGTTTTGGCATTTTATACTGTCAACTTTGTAACGAAACTTTTTAAAGATTAAGTGATTTTCCTTTGCGGGTCCAGATAATATTTTATACAGATTTTGGAAAATGTGATAATGTTGATGCAGTATTGCAACAGGGTGCAATTCCCGGCAGTGTGATAAAGAGTTATTTACTCAACCTGTGAAATATTGTGAAATGGTTACCTTTTACACACATGACTTATTAGGAACCTTGGGCTTCCTTGGACTGCCGTTGGGAAAGGGACCCACTGCTCCTCTTAACAGCCTGTATTGGCTGTTTTGGGGGTGGGGGCGCTGTTTGTTTTTGCTGTTTTTTTTTGAGACAGGGTCTTTTCTAGTCCAGGCTTGTCTCCCATTTGCTCTGTAGCTGAAGATAACTGAATTTCTGATCCTCCTGCCTCCACCTCCCCAGTGCTAGGATTACAGGTGGGTGCTGCCATGCTTGGTTTTATGAGGTGCTGGGAATCAAACCCACGGCTTCGTGCATGCTAGGCAAGCACACTACCAAATGAGCTACAGCCACAACCCCATTTTTAATACTATTACAAATCTACTGCCATACAATTTATTTTTGCTTTATTTTTGTTCCCTAGAACAAATAACTTCATGAATATTTTTTGAATTTTTACTTTTTAATGCATTCGCAGATATCCAAATAAAACCAAGCATAATCATACTGAGCTGTCACATTTTTCCCCCCTTTAAAAAAATCAGGAGCTAGAGATATTGTTCAGCAACTCCAGCTCCATGGGATCCAACACCCTCTTCTGGCCTCGAGGCAACTGCATACACACACACACACACACCCCGTCTCAAAAAACACCAAAAAGGAAAAAAAAGAAAAGGAGACGTTTTGACATTAAAAACAATTTAAAGGGTTAGAGATACGGGTCAGTAGTTAAGAGCACTGGCTACTCTTTCAGAGGACCTAGGTCTGGTTCCCAGCACCCACACGGTGGCTAACAATCACCCTTAACTCCAGTTCCAGAAGATCTGACACCCTCTTCTGACCTCCACAGGCACTGCATGACATGGATACACTTACATACATGCGGGCAAAACACTCATACACATAAAATAAAAATAATCATTTATAAATTAAAATTTTCTAATAAAGGAACATGAAAAAGCTTCCCTTATATTGGTACGATTTTGTTTTTTTTTCGGTCTTTCTTGAGACTTTTTTTTTTTTAAGCCATTTTTAAAATTTATTTTTATTTTATGTGTATGAGTGTTTTGCCCGCATGTATGTAAGTGTACCCATGTCATGCAGTGCCTGTGGAGGTCAGAAGAGAGTGTCAGATCTTGTGGAACTGGAGTTAAGGGTGATTCTTAGCCACTGTGTGGGTGCTGGGAACAGACCCAGGTCCTCTGAAAGAGTAGCCGCTGCTCTGAACCACTGACCTGTATCTCTAACTCTTTAAATTGTTTTGAATGTCAAAACGTCTCCTTTTTTTTTTCCTTTTTGGTGTTTTTTGAGACGGGGTCTCCCTGTAGCCCCAGCTGGCCTGGAACTCGCTATGTAGACCAGGTTGGCCTTGAACTCACAGAGATCCACCTGCCTCTGCCTCGCAAGAGCTGAGATTAAAGGCTGATGCTACTGCACTGGGCTCAAAACTTCTTAATAACAGATTGTTAAACCTTTGTCAAGATGGAAAAATGGAAAACAAATCAAGTTTCAAGGCATTCGAAGATCCTTTTGTAACAGAGTGAGTGGTGTATTCACCTCAGTTCTTTACTAGGAACCCCTCAAAATCTCTCCTAGCCAAACTCTCAGGACAATTTTAAGAACAGAAAGATAGGG